CGTCCAGCAAGGAAGCTTGATGATTGCCGGTCACGGTGAGGATCAGAGAGTTTCCACCTAGGGCAGCGACCAGTGAGTGTGATTTTCTTTGGCAATCATCTCAAGTGAATTCAAGTGGACCACCATCTGTGCGATTTCAATCGGCGTCACGACGTCACCCCCGAACGAGGCAGAATTTTGAAATGAAGGAGATTCTGAGATATATCTAAACACTACCTAACCCTACCTGTACCCAATATACAGCATCTAACCCTACCTGTACCTGATCCCGCCTGCCCGCAGCGTGCATTGTTGGCAATGAGCTCTTGGTTGAGCAACTGGGTGAGAGGGGAGATGATAAGGATCCAGGATGATGGAAAGAGAGTTGTGCTTGAACTGACCTCACTGACCTTTGCTCGGCGCAGGTTGGCCAACACTCCGACCATTTCAGGCAAAGTGGTCGCTTGTCGACTTGGCGTCGGAGTTTCGAGATTTTTGTCAGTGAAAGCAGTGCAAACAAGTTTGGCGAGGTTGGGACAAAGAACCCAAATGACTAAAGGACACTAAAATGTGCTGCACTCGCCACAAGCAGACACATACAGCTCGTTGACTTTCCATCACTGCTGACTGACGTCTTCGACGACCAGTAGAGTATTGAATTAAGAAATTGGCGAAAAGCTGGAAGGGTGGCACAAGTTGGCGTGCGCTTGTCATGATGGAAAAAAGGCGTGCATTTTCCATTCGCCAGAGAATCAGTCACGGTGACCCAGTGACCAAACAGTGTAGGCAACTTGGTTCACGTCATCAATCACCCATCCCATGCAGACATGGCTGTGCCAAAGCTGTGGTGGTGACTCCTTAGGCGCAGATGATGTGGGACTTGTCGGGCAAGCGTAGGTTTGGGCCCAGCCTGAGATTCTTGGGCGGTTTTGGTGGGACACCTACTTGGAACCTTCAGAATATATGGGCCAAAGCAAGTGACTTCCTGCGTCATGGGCTCACAATGTCATGTGGCGCATGTCCTTGCAGTCCGGAAGCATCCTTGTTTGCTTTGGCCGCCATGCCGAGAGAACGCCAATGAGCAGCTGGATTCTTGTCCCAGGTCCTTTCAAGACAAAGAAGTTTGATTAGGACCCTTGATGGCTCACATTCAAGAATCTGCGAGCTACACGGATTTTCTGTGGAAGGCGCGCATTAAACGGTAAAGCCGTAAAATGGTAAACTCCATTGTTCCCGAGAAACGCCCCGTAATACACTATTTAACCCAAATGACTAAAGGACACTAACAATGTGCTGCACTCGCCACAAGCAGACACATACAGCTCGTTGACTTTCCATCACTGTTGCCGACGTCTTCGACGACCAGTATTGAATTAAGAAATTGGCGAAAAGCTGGAAGGGTTGCATAAGTTGGCGTGCGCTTGTCATGATTGAAAAAAGGCATGCATTTTTTTCCATTCGCCAGAGAATCAGTCACGGTGACCCAGTGACCAAACAGTATAGGCAACTTTGTTCACGTCATCAATCACCCATCCCATGCAGACATGGCTGTGCCAAAGCTGTGGTGGTGACTCCTTAGGCGCAGATGATGTGGGACTTGTCGGGCAAGCGTAGGTTTGGGCCCAGCCTGAGATTCTTGGGCGGTTTTGGTGGGACACCTACTTGGAACCTTCAGAATATATGGGCCAAAGCAAGTGACTTCCTGCGTCATGGGCTCACAATGTCATGTGGCGCATGTCCTTGCAGTCCGGAAGCATCCTTGTTTGCTTTGGCCGCCATGCCGAGAGAACGCCAATGAGCAGCTGGATTCTTGTCCCAGGTCCTTTCAAGACAAAGAAGTTTGATTAGGACTCTTGATGGCTCACATTCAAGAATCTGCGAGCGACACGGATTTCTTTCAAAGCTCCAGAAAACGCAAGGACGTCTCTTGACAGTGCCTATGACATTTTACGTTTCTGTCTTCCCCACTGCAGATTGTGGACACATTCGACAGGTTCCTTCTGCCAGCAGGGTTTGAAGCAGTGCTCACGTTGTCCTGTGAAAAACGACATCGGCCTACCAGCTCTATCGATTTTGGTCCGGTTGACAAGTCGTTGGAGATTTCGCGCTTTTGCATTGCGAGAAAAAAAGGCATGAACAGTTCTTCTCTGATCCTGGTGCTGAGAAAGTGTGGTTCTGCATTCTCAGGCGTTCTCAGCATACTTTTCCTTCGGTGTGATCATTCACCTTGCCGCAAAAAACCGCGCACTTTGACCGGGGCAGCCAGGAGACAGGATGTGCACGATGCGCCACTCGCGCTGTCAGATCCAGAGGCTCTCAGGCTGTGCCAAAACCGTGCCGCAGGGCCAATTCACACGCAGTTCTAGTCCTTGCCAAGCCTGCAACTTTACAGAGCCGAAGATGCCAGTTCGACTCTTGAAGAGATCAGTTACGTATCAGCCGTCCACTGCGGTTTTGAAGCGACCAAGCAGTTCTTGAGGTGAGGCAAAGATGCTCTTGAAACGATGACAGTTGTGCATCAGCCGTCAAGTGCGGTGCACTTGTCACGTGACTTTGTACTACCAACGAGATTGCTTTGAAGGATTTGAAGCAAGCAAGCACAGACTGGGATATCTCGCAGGCAATTGCAAATGAGTTGAAAAGGCGGTGCACTTGACAGGAGCAGATTTGAAGATCTTTGGGACTGCTAGACGGCTCATCTCTTCCAAGTTGGTGTAACTAGTGGAGATATGTTTATTTTTGTTTCTGGCGCTTGGAACGGTTCTTGACTGTTGGGTGGTTAGTGACAACATATGACTATAGTCATCTGGTTCATGTTGGTTCATTTCGGACTTGACATGTTTCAATATTACGCTTGCAAGTATTTTTCGCAAAGACATCACAGTCGCAGTTGAACATGTCGCAGGACTCAGATGTGAGTCCTGAACAATTTTAATTACTCAGTAGATGCTTCACAGACTTTACCAAATTGGGAGCAGACCCCCTTCAAAAACTCCGCGGTATTCACGCAGTTTTCAGCTCAGTCCTGACCAGTCCCCAGATGGCAGAACCACAGGTGACCCATGGTGACCCATGGTGACCCGGCTGAGCGAGACGGCGAGACTGCGAGTCTTGTTGAAGGGTCTCGGCTGATTGGCGAGTCCTCTTAGGGTCTCCGAGTCCTAATGGAACGAGAAGTGGATGGAACGCTGCTTTGGTGCGGCCAGAGCGCAGCAATCAAGAGGCTGTAAAAATGGCACCATGGCAGTCGCATTAATTCATGAAGTATGACATTTTCACCTCATGCCATGTATTCTCAAACGGTAGCCTCCCAAACTATTCGCTTTTGCTCAGTTTTGCTCAGTTTTGCTCAATCAAGATTGCTTTCTTTTGGAATCTGGATATCTTCATGTCAATCTCGAGTAGAAGTGCGGCTGAGGCTTTGACGAAGGAAAGCCGAGGCCCGTGACGGACGTGACCTTCGATGTCATTTAAAGATGTAGAAACTTAATCGTGGAAAGCCAAACAACATAGTTTGACAATTTTGATGTGACTCCAAAGGATAAAGTGTCTTCATATGTTTGAATTGCACGGCACCAACTTTGCCTTGAAACAATCATTTTCTGTGGTTGAATCGCTCTTTGGTTCCTTGGGTTTCGGCGTTCTTTCTGCGCATCTTTGATCGTTTTGATTGTTAAATTCCAGCAGCTTCCGTCTGGCTGTTGCTGGGTAAAGTGTGCGGCGTACCGTGTTCGCGAGGCAGTCGTGGCCGAGGCGCCAAGTTAATGCCTTGCGCAGATGCCTTGCAGTACAGTGCTCAAGCCAGGCCTAGTTGAAAGGTACTCAAGTGCTCTTCTCGAATGAGCTGGGCCAGCTATGCCCAGCTGGGCCACGGAAAACACCAACAAACATCGATCCGAAAACACACCTCCAAAGGCACAAATTTCAACGCCACCTTCTAAATGCCAATTGAAAGAGCCATCCGTTTGATCCCACTTGATCCCATTTGCTTCATGAGTGGCCTGCCATGCAGTTGTGGTTCCTGTGGTTCCTGGCCCATTGCATTCTCGGCTGGGCTCTCTTTAGCGATTGGCAGTACCAGGCTGGAACCACTGGCAATGACTATGTATACGGTCTGGCCATTGACTCCAATGGGCCAGTGGTCGTGGGCAGCACCGCCGGTGACCTCTTTGGAACCAATCAAGGTGAGGAGCTAAGTTGTCTGCTAAGTTCCCTAGGACTCCCAGGATTCCCAACGTTCATGTGGGGAATGAATTCAGCTGAGCAGGCGCCAAAACCTCTATGTGGAGATTTAAAGGGCTGTTACAGTAAGATGGCTCCGCGAAAGGTAAAACCACATGCGCGAAAGATTTGCGAAAGTTTTTGCGAAGATTTTTGTTTCCGCGAAAGCTCGCGAAAGAGACTTTCAAGGCTCAAAATCATCGTTTATAAGTATGTTTAGACAGATTCCTCAAATGTATCTGGATCCATGTGATAACATTATTCACAATTTTCTATAGATGTGACCCGAAAATCTGCGAAAGCTCCGCGAAAGCTCCGCGAAAGCCCTGACTAGCTGGGATGCCCCCCCCCAGAAATTTGATAAGGGAGTGGCAGTGCCCACTGCACTGAGATCAGTTGGGGCCCGGCAGTGCCCACTGAGATCTGGCGCTTGCGGTTGAGGTCCGGCAGTGCCCACTGAGATCTGGAGCTTGTGGTTGAGGGCGGAGTAGGGGACGAGAGGACAAGAGGCGATGGGCGGCATGCAGCTCCGCTAAAATCTAGAGTGATCTGGCAGGTGGGGAACACATGTTTCATGCAGTTTTTGTTTGCTAGGGAACACAGGGGATTCTGTTCGGGATTTTTCGCGAAAGCTGGAGTAAGTGCATTTCAGACACATGGATGCCGCCAAAGAAAACCCACATCGCGAAAGGTTGGCAATTGCTCACAGCTGGAAATCTCAAAACTTTCAAACTTCGCCCTCGGCCCAGGTGGGACAGACTGGTGGCTTCAGAGGGTCAGCGATGCTGGCTCAATTTTAGGTCAAACGCAACTCGGTGCAGCGAATGACGACGTTGCCCGGTCCTTGGCCGTGGACGCGAATGACAACCTTTGGGCGGCTGGCTGGAATGGTGGACCTTCCCCAAGAACCCCATTTATATTCAAGATGGTTCCACCAGGTTATGGGTTGGACGTCTATGACCATCCAAGTTCCAGTGGTACAGCTTTTTTCGGAGGCATCACGATCGATAGCACTGGAAATGCAATAGCAGTTGGAGGCTCCACCGGGACCATTGATGGACTTACTTCGTCTGGGGATTACGACTTTTTGCTCATGGTCTACAGCAATGCAGGGGTGAAGCAATTTACCAGGCTCACTGGCAGCAGTGGTCAGGACGATGCATATTCTGTTACCACCGACTCCAGTGACAACATTGTTGTGCTGGGAGAAACGTCTGGTAGCATGAGCGGCTTTACGAATGCTGGCGTTCCTTTTGGCTTTGCTTCATCTAAGATAGACAATTATAACATATAATATATAATATTAATGTGGGAAAAACAAAAAACCACTATTTTGGGAATTGCTTATACCACCTATTAAAATGGTGAAATTGGGGATCGTTTATGGCATTGTTTTTACTTACATTATATGAATACATATGGTGATTTTTTGTTGCGCTTACTCCCCTGTAACCAACCCAGGTTGGTGATGATGTGGTGGTGTTGAAGTACGATAGCAGTGGAACTTTGCTGTGGACATATCAATGGGGTTCAGCATCAGATGACTGGTTCAAATCTGTGTCCTGGATTCAAGAACTGATCAACTGAAACGTCACACAACTTTCAAAAACCATCGATTATATACCACAACTGCACAACTGAAAACGCTAAACCGATGAACGCAAGATCAACATCCAGCACTGGAAAGGTTTCACCACTATGAACTCCGAAGACGACCATTGCCATATAGACCCACGAAAAAACCAGGTAGTTTGTCAGATTCTTGACATTTCCCAAGGTGAAAACAGACAGCAGTGACAACATTTACGCGGCTGGCATCACTGCAGCTTGGCTGCTGTACTGAGTTTGTTCTTTCCGTTGCTACTTCTCGTAACTCTAGTAATGTGGGTAAAACAAGAATAACCATCCCCCAAATCACCAAAAATATAAACCACTCCCAAAAGGGTGGTTTATGACATTGTTTTACCCACAGTATTGAGTATTTGGAGATATCAGATATCCTTGGGTAAGTTGTCTCTCCTGCCCAAGGCTGGCACACTGACCGGTGCGAACGCTGGGGGCTACGACATGGGGGTCTTTAAACTCAACAGCGCGGCGGTACAGCAATGGGTCGTTCAAAGGGGTTCAGCAGGAACTGAGCAGGCAGGTTTTGTGGGACAAAAAATACGGAGCGCCACGGAAAAAGCTCAAAACGGACGAAGTTTACAAAAATGGTCCAATGGAGATGTGATCTCTGAATAGCCAGCAACTTCATTGATTCTTTGATATTTTTTTGTCGTGTAAGGGTTTAGGATGGTGGTTTAGCTCCGCAAGATTTCGCAAGTGCTTTGGGCTGTTCAGGGGATGCCCGGGGTGCCGCTTGAAAGGGTGGACCCCGAGGACCCCTCTCTCCTATCAACCTTCGTAACTTGCATGAGACCTTCTGACCTTCTGAATCATTTTCAGTTCTCATCCTTATTCGTCCTTTGTGTGTTTAGAATAACCCATCCTTGCAAGTGCAATCTTTAAAAGGGAAAACATCCATGCTCGCTTTTCTTTCGTGTTCAGGATTCAACCAAGGAAAACTTTCAAACGCCTCGGGTGTTTGTTACAGCAAGGTGTCTGTGTTTAAGCGAACGAAGCATGCCAGATATTCAGGGTTTCCCACCTCCCCAAGCTTGGAGGCCATGTAAAATATACTGCTATAGGCTTTGAAAGTAATTCGCAACATGCGTATCAAATACTGAAACTTTCTATGGATGTGGGCATCGGGATGGGGATCAAAAAAAATCTGAGGACAAAAAAAATCTGAGGATCAAACGAAAATTTTCCGAGGATCAAAAAAATAGAAGGAAGGAAGGAAGGAAGGAAGGGAGGGAGGGAGGGAGGGAGGGAAGGGAAGGGAAGGGAAGGGAAGGAAAGGGAAGGGAAGGGAAGGGAAGGGAAGGGAAGGAAGGAAGGAAGGAAACACTAAGAGCACAACTGTTGCCAGAAAAGATGCCAAAGATAATGGCAAAAAATAGTGCCAAAGAATATCAGGTAGGATATCGGATTGGTTTCAGAAACAATGTCACAATACAGGCCAGTCAGTTAGTATAATATCAGAAAGAAAGTCAGATAGAGTTTCAGCTAAAATGTCCAATGCTCACAAGGGGCATGCTCGACATTATAAACACGGTGAGTGGTATATTCAAACTGCAGCATTGCCTGTGAAAACAGGTATTGTCATTCTGCTTTGGGGGGAGGCGCTGCGCCCTCCCCCTTTTTTTGGTTCAAGTCACATTTGCAGTACACTTCTCTGCATGTGTATATATATATATATGAATATGAATGTGTGTTTTGGCATGTAGCATTGCCTGTGAAAACGGGTATTGTCATTCTGCTTTGGGGGGAGGCGCTGCGCCCTCCCCCAATCCCCCCTCCCGCTTCTTTATTCAAGTCACACTTGCATTACACTTCTGTGCATGTGTGTATATATATATATATATGTGTTTTTGCATGTAGCGTTGCCTGTGAAAACAGGTATTGTCATTCTGCTTTGGGGGGACGCGCTGCGCCTTTGTTTTTGTTTCGACTCAATACCTATGCGGGTACATGCATGAGTATTGAGCACATTTATATGCGCCCTCAAGGCTCAAGAGGTATATACAGAGTAACCCTGTGGACACCACACGGACTGGCAATACGCCGAGAGTAAAAAGCGTGTGAAGCTGTCTTGGGAAGACGCTCTAGCTGATCTTGAATAGACGCTAGTGCCCCTCTTCAAGTGGTAGCAGAGCAGTGATCCTTCATTGAAGGTGAGCTCCAGGTAGAGCCCAATAATGGCACGCCATGGCTATGATGATGATGATGATGACGATGATGATGACGATGATGATGATGATGATGACTTCGACATTGTCGATGCAGATGTATGGAGCCAATATGACTCTTACGCGATGAGAAGAGCCCCCCAGCAGACACAGATTCACATGACGCAGCAGATGACCACGAAGGTATCTCCAGCATATGATGGGAGAACCAGTTTCTTTGCCTTTGAAGATGCAATCGATGACTGGTGTGACATCACGGAGTTAGAACCTGAAAAACGTGGACCAGCTTTGCGAAATCGTCTGGAAGGAGAGGCTCAGCAATACAAGAGGTTATTGGATAGAGAAATGCTCAGGGATCCCAATGACGGAGTGAACTATTTCAAAAGGTTTCTACGACCCCATTTCATCAAAGGTGCCCAGAACGTGTTCTTATACCGTTTCATGCAGTTCATGAAGTTCAACAGAGGAACTATGGATCTTCAGAAGTGGATGACTAGATTTCAACTGACTGGAAACAGACTTATTGAGTCTTGGATGGATTTACTTCCAGAACCATCAGATTACTAGCCCAGAAGCAAGTCTGTTTATCCAACGACAAAGACAAGATCATGACGCAGATCAAGTTGAACGAGCACAAGTGGCAGCAGCGACACCAGGCGGAGATCCCCATGTGGTCATTCCCTGGTCAGGAGAAATGACGTTGAGGTCTTTTAGAACCTACAATGAAAACAGAAGACAAGCACAAAGGATGGCATTCCCATTGGGTGACAATTTGCTAGCATTGATTTTTGTAAGTTTAGCTGACCTGACTCAAGATCAGAGAAACACACTCACAAGTATCATGACACATCGTGGACGAACACTCGATCAGTACAATATACAAGAACTACGTGACCTGTTTTTGAAAATGTTTTGCACTACAAAAACTGCAGTTGACAATCCAATGATGCAACCCTCTGGCATGGCACAGTGAAGATCTTTCCTCGTACTGGATGAAGGTGAACTAGAAGGAACCGACGGCTATTGGGCCGAAGATGAAGAAGACGGCGCAGAAGGATTCCTGGATGCGCTAGAAGATGTTTTCTGGGTGTATGTTGACGCTGACTACACATGGTATCAGAGAAGGTTCCAAGGCAGACAGACCAGACGAGGCAAAGGTAAAGGAAAGAGAAAAGGAAAAGGAAAAGGGAGAGGAGGACGAAGGTTCTTCAGACCAAGAAAAGGAAAGGGCCAAGGAAAAGGAAGGAGAAAAGGCCGCTCTCACATGGTGGGTGAAGGAGGTTATGAGGAAGAATGGCAAGAAGGAGATTGATTGGAATGAATCCTATGAAGGCTATTGGGGCAATGATTACAACTGGAATGAAGGCTATTGGGCCTCTGATGATCTGTACTATCTTGATGAGTATGGATACTTCCAGAAGAAAGGAAAAGGAAAAGGAAAAGGAAAAGGAAAGAAAGGCAAGAAAGGCAAGGATGATGATGGCAAAGGAGGAAAACCAGGAGATGGCAAAGGTAAGTCCAACTATGTTCAACCTCAGACCACATCAACTCCTGCTATACAGAATCAACAACAGCAACAAGCTCATTATTCTTCTGCAGCATCAAGCTCTGGTCATGGTTTCTTTGCATTTGCAGAGACTGAACCAGCACGTGTGGAAGTTTTGACAGCCACTTATGCTGAACGAGAAGAACATCGACGTACTCGTCGTGGAGGACAGAACCAACGTGATGCAACAGCACAGCACAACAGGAGAGAGCTCAAGAAGTTCCCTGTTTTAGTTGGAGATCTTGATGCACTCCACAAGGTGTACAACGACGTCCAGCTTCTGTGCCCAGGCAAGTTGGTCTACAAGAAGGTGAGGCTTCATGGAAGCCATTGGCAAAAGGCACATCATTGTTTTCACATGGATGCTCTGTAGAGATAGAGGTACCATCTCATCCTGAAGGCTTTGTAGAGACAAAGGAATCAGATGAGCAGCAGAGTGCTTTTTCATTTCATACTGTACAGACTGATCTGGCATGTGAGAAAGGACTAGCTTTTCACACAGAGGATTCTGCACCACCAACTGTATGTATCCTGGATCTTGGATGCACAAGAGCTATGGGCTCTCGACGAGCAGTTGAAGCATTTTGCAGATATGTTGATTCACATCCCAACAGTGGACTCTGGTATGAATTTCCGCCAACAAGTTCAAGATTCTTCTTTGCAAATTCCCAACAATCCAAGTGCACTGAGAAGCTTGTGATATTCATGTATGACAATGGATGGAACACTCAGTTCCACAGATGAGAAACCTTGGATTTCAATTTGAACTTACTCCAGAGAAGGCTTACTTGTCCTGTGCACGTATTGGCATGAGAAAAATGGTCTTGAAGACAGCCATCAGTACTCATCTCATTCTCGACTTACAAGATGTTACATGGTACATGAGCCAAGTACATTTCAAAACTCCACAAGTCAAGAGTTTCTTCTCACAACACGATCACTTTGAGTACAGCCAGATTGCTGTCAAACAAGATGTTCAAGAAGAAGAAGAAGCTTTGATGACTGGTGACTACTGGCAAGTTGATCCGCTACGTCGTGAACTCATCAGGCACCACAAGGACAAGAGGAGACATCTACATGAGATGAATCGATCAGATGGGACTCCAATTCCAAAAGATCAACTTCTTGATGAGAGAGAGACACATCAAGAGTTCCAGAAGAGCAAGAAGAATGTTCTTCACAAGGACAGCTGGCGCGAAGAGAGGAAGAGGTTTTCTGATCAGAGTGAAGAGTTCTGGAAGGGCAAGACCATCTACAAGATCAAGAAGGACTACGTGATCCCTGATGATGTCGTCAGAAGTGACCTTGATCGAGCAAAGCCTTTCCGTGGAAACATCGATGATCTTTTTTCACCCTGACTCAGCCTCTTCAGCCCAGCGGCTCCTTACAGAAGGAGGCAGGCAAACCGATTTCGAGAGGACCAAGCTTGAAAAAGATTGAGGTAGGTCCCCCAGCAGCCAAGAGACACGTAGGTAAGCAGAAACCAAAGGTTGTCGATGACTCTCAAGCAGGGTCATCAAGAAAGAAGGTTGTTGTTTCCTATCCCAAGCTTGATGAGGAAGATGAACTTGACAAAAGAGCTAGGGAGTTAGGATTGGACAAGGTTGACTCAGATGAACCTCAAGTCATTGAATCCAAATCTTCTGCACCTGCGCATGTACGCGGTAAGCAAGATTCAGAAAGTCAAATCGAGAGACTAGGTAGTGATGCTCTTGAGCCTAGGCGAGTTTCAATTCCACTGCCTGGTAGTGAAGTGCAAGCCATGACACCAGCATACAGAAAGATGCTCAGGAAACTAGAGGATA